CAGTACATGAGTATCAGAAGTAGCATTTATCTATTTTAGAATTGTTTTGTAAGTGTATTTTCTGTTGATTTCTAATTTTTCCCTCTTTATGTATAAAGAACAAGGTCAGACGGCTGCAGAAGAGTTATGAGGACATCTGTCATTTGAATGCTGACAGGAACCTGCAGCTGGAAAGAGCTGTATCTTTAGTGAACCAGTTTTGGGAGACTTACGAAGAGCTGTGGCCTTGGCTGATGGAGACCGAGACAGCCATCTCTGAACTGCCAACACCAGGTTTAAATTATGACACACTGAAACAACAGCAAGAAGATATCCGGGTAAGAACAGCTACTAAATTTAGTTGAATGCAATCACTTGACACATCTAGAGCAATGTCAGGTGACTTCATCCCAGGTAGCATAGTGCCAGAAAAGGTGACAGATTTTCTCCTAACTATTATTCTACATACTGTTTTCAGTGCCATTAGCTGCAGAATTGGGTGTGAGTTTCCCTGCTATTAAGCGGTGTTCTCTTATAGTACATGATAATGTATCAGCTTTATATGTATCAGCTTTGTAATTAAAAATCACAGCATATCAGGACTAAGTCCTAATGCTAAGTCCTGATCATGATCATATAACATTGGCATATAACATTGGTCATGCTACTGTGTTGTGTTTGTAGTTGATCATACTCAGTGGATTCTGTTCATTTTTCAGCAATTGGACCCTCAATTGGTCAACACTTTTTTGGCATTCAGATTTATTTTTCAGTGTTCTGTGCTGTTAAAACAGTGGAAATTAATGTTTTTGCTTTTTTACTGCTTACCCCTGTATTACCAGCAGAGAATAATGTGGAATTTATTAAATTGGTGATGCCAGTATATCCTTTATCCCTTTTTTGTTTTATTGAATATACTGTATATTCCAATGATTGCACTATGATGTGCTCAAAAGTCCCCAACTAAGTAAAAGAAGGGCGCATTACCCAACATAACAGTAAGGTGTTGATTGATATATATATATATATCTATATATATATAGATATATAGATATATAGATATCTATATAGATATACATAGTATATCTATATAGATATCTATATATACAGTATATCTTTTGAGTGCTAGCATATATGGACTTTAACTAGCTTTTGTGCTGAAGAAACTTAATACATATAACTTAACCAAAGACTTGACAACATTTACAGTATGTACACATTTGTAAACCATATACTGAAGCAGAATATAAAACAGTCCTTAGAGAATATCAGTATACATCAGCATGAACAGGATTGGGCAGTGCATGAAGGCACACATCCAGAGCTCATGTAAAATAATTTGTGCCAGTCTGTGACTTTACTATTATCTTGGCAAGGGGCCCTTCTGGGAACTTCTTGGAATGGATGATAACTGTCAGGGTTTTCAAGACATCTTACATAGTTCCTGCATATGCTGAGAATATGACTCAGTACAGTTCTTGTATAGAGATCATTGGGGATAACTTGGTGAATATTTGCATTGAGTTCTCCTAATCCTTTGTGACTTTTTATTCTTTATGTATTGCTATGTTCTGACTACCGGCCATGGGTTTTTTTTAAACTTTGCTTTTTATTCTTTTGAATGCTGTTTTTTATTGTTTTCTTGTTATTTTTTTAACAATTTTTTTTATTTCGGAAGACCTTAGACTCCTTTGTTATACTGTAATCTTTTCAAAATAATTCATATCTCTTGGAGTGTTGATTAGTACGCCGATTATGCCAAAAGTGTTTGTACCCTAAAATAACCTTATTGCTTCATTTTATTATTCACATGTACCAGAAGTCGACATAACTAGATTAGGTAGGCTCTAGATTCCATTGTCTGACCTAATTGCTTCCGACGGTCTCTTTACTGGTAGTGCAGCAATATACTGTTCGCAGATAAACATCAGTAAAATGCCAGCAATGTTTTGTGTTCCTGTCCAATTTGTGTATGTAGCACCCATCTAACAAAAAAACATCCTTGCTTAAAACATGAACCACTGCTCTAAACTCTAAAAGCAGTAATACTTTATAACAAAGCAGCAGACCCTCACATTAAAGATTTGAAGTCAGATTACAGAGTGCTTGGCACGACAGCTGTCTTCATTGAATAAGTACAAAAAATCCATCTGAATCCTCTTTATTTAAATCAGCTTGTGTAATTAAGATCAATTCATATGGGACCAACATAGTTATATGATACTGTATCTGTTGAGTTCTGTACAATATGTTACCAAAGTTGAGTTGTTTCCCAATGGTCAACTTTCCATTGTTGTCTATTGATACTGTGTCACAACTTATATATTTTAACACAGTTTTATGTAGTCCTTGGACACAGTCTCATTTTTTTTTTTTTTTTTGCAGTTAGATCTTTGGTAAAACATTCAGACCATATGTGTCTGTGTATCTCAGAAATCAGTCTTCTCTGCAGCATTGCTCCTAATGATCACATTGTCCTTCACAATAGTGTAAAAGTCTATAAATCTGGAATCATCATAGAGTTTGATTGACATGACTTTAATTTATGACAAGCTATTTGTTATAGTTTAACTAATTGGCTTCTGCTGGAGCTGTTGTTAACCCATCCATCCCAACCTGGAAAAGGAAGATCACGAATGAGAGTGATGTTATGATGATGATGGCATGGGATAACTCAATACACTGGCAAAAAAAATCTGGTCTGCCACTACATCCCAAGTAACAATAAAGGTCTTGAATTCTATTCTGACTACATCTACCACTGCACAATAAACAAGGATTTAGCCGTCAAAGCTTTCATTGTAAGAATTACATTTAAAAAACGTAGCTTTCCAGTATCATAAACACTGCTTTCTCTGAAGTGCAGAGCTACAAATTAGTGTTGTTAAGCTAGCCACACATGTGGCAATCTACTTGTACACTCTCCTTTAGATTTATTAACAACTATTGTATATAATGTAAGGGCCCACCATGCTGGGTGTAAATTGAAAGAATGATTTAAAGTGCCCCTGAACTACAATACATAGATGTTCTTATATCTAAAAAAGGTTGTACAGTGATTGTACAGCCAGATTCTAACATGATTGGCCAGCTTTAGATGCATCTCATATTCACAAATGATTACAACACACAGTAAAATATAACTTACGTCAGTGTCTACTTCCTAATTATGAAGTAGCAGGTGCTGTCTTTGCTTTTTATTTTATTTGGTTCATAGAAATGTTGCATTTCTGATAGTAAATAGTTTTGGAGGCAATGGGGTTGACTTACTAAAGGCAGATAGGCTGTTCACTATGCAAGGGAATTTTCCCCTGAAGGTTAGTGATTAATATAAAGCTCTGATTACTTCAATCATCCAATCATATGCAAGCATAAATAATGTTTTTTTCTCAACTTACTTGCACATAATTGGGTATAATTTGCAAAGGGAATTAGGTATATTAAAGTAGAGGGCGGGAGTAACACCACACAAAAATGCATATAGTGTAAGTTTAAGTTGGAATTTTTTTTTTATGTTGAGAAGATTTAGGATACTTAATATGCATGTGTATTGACAGCATTACTGGTATTATGCTTATCTGATGACCAAGGTACAGGCAATAGCATCCAGATTCCATTGGATTAGGGTCTGCTATTATTTATTTATTTACAATATAAACAGTGTAAAAAGTTTATGTTCCTTTTTTATTATTGCTTTTTAGGCAAATTTTTATGCTAAGTTTTAAGGATGCACAGATACTGGTTTTTCAGTATTGAGTACAAGTATCGATATTTATCTTTCGGTACTCACCAATATCGGTACTTTCAGTAGCACGGAGCTTGCTTCCTAAACAATTAGGAATCTGGGCACCGTGTCATTACCCGCCACCCGGCTTCTTGATTGCTTAGGAAGCCGGTTCCATGCTGTTTGGCCAGCTCGATACTGATTGGCCGTGAAGCTGGCATCCAAGCCAATCAGCATGGAGCCGGCTTCCCGGCCAATGAGGAAGCCGGGAGGCTGGTCATTACCCGCTACCAAGCTTCTGGATTGGCTGGGAAGCCAGCTCCATGCTGTTTAGCTGGCAATATGCTGATTGCCTGGGAAGTCGGCTTTCCAGCCAATCATCATGAAGCTGGCTTTACCGGTCAATCAGGAAGCAGGGAGGCGGGTCATTACCCGTGGCCCAGCTTCCTGATTGGCTGAGAAGCTGACTCCATGCTGTTTGGCTGGCCCCATGCTGATTGGCATGCATTGAGCTGGCCAAACAGTAAGAAGGTGGCTTCCCAGCCATTCAGGAAGCCGGACTGCTAGTCATTACATGCGGCCCGGCTTCCTTATTGGCTGGGAAGCCGCTCCATGTTCCCTCGCGTCACTGCCGGTCAGAGGAAATCTCCCTCTGACCGGAAGTTCCGGTATGGGGATAAGTACCGGAGCATTTGGGCAAGTAAGAGTACTCGGCCAAATACTCAGTATTGGGACCGATACTAGTATCAGTATCAGTGCATCCCTACTAAGTACCATACCCTTGGTACCCCCACAACCCTAGCCAAGCAAGTAGTCTCATGACTTTGGTCTTTTGACATTTTTCATAATCTAAAGCTGATGTTTAGAATCACTGAAAATGGTTTATATATTTTGGTTTCACAAGTTCTGCAATCTGACCATGCGCTTTATCATTCAATTGCACCCTTGTAAATTTATCGGGTCAATGGCACTTGATGTAGTCACACCATAAATATTTAAAAAAATCTTGTCCATGCCCACATGAGTTAAAATCAACGTAATAAATTTAGTGATGCAAATCCTTAACAATTATCTTTGCTCTTTATAACTTTGTTTATAGTGTTTTGCCAGCTGGATACATTAAGATGCTAAAACCAGACATGGAGGGGAGTATGATCCTAAAATATTTCTAATGTGTTTTTCTTTTGTCATAGCAACTCCGTGAGCTGATTGCAGAACACAAACCTCATATAGATAAGATGAACAAAACTGGTCCCCAGTTGCTGGAACTCAGTCCTGAAGAAGGCTTCTTTATCCAGGAGAAATATGTTACAGCTGACTCTCTCTACAGTGACATCAAGGAAGTTGTCAAGAAACGAGCTATTGACTTGGATGAAGCTTTTTCTCAGTCATCACAGGTACTCGTTAAAGTGTTTTCCATATGTATGGAGATTGAAATTTCTACTGTTTGTGAAAACATGTATACATAAAACATATGCATAGCTGTCTAAGCCATTCTTTATGCTAACCAAAATATTAAACAAAACAGGTCCACCCAAAGCATACCCATTTAAGCTTCACCCAAGGCAGTCTTGGTCTACGTATGCTAAGAAGTGTACTGTCTATGTGTTATTTCCTCATTACTGTTTTTGTCACTTTGCAAATGAAACAACCACATTCATATTCATATAGTAGTTAAACAAATAATATTGTTATAGTGTTTATTATTTATGTTAGCCACTAAGCAACATGGCCAAAAATAAATATTGTATATCATTGTACAGAAGCAATGAGTTTAGTTCAATACCTCTGATATCATCATTAGCAACACATATTCATCTTGTGTATTAACGTTAATGCCATCTTTGTATAGCTTCACATTTTAGATAGCGTAATCAGAATAATGTTTCATCCCATATAGATATATTTTTATATGACAAGTAAATAGTTTGGGCTAATTCTGTTTTTCATTTTGAAGACAGCAAACAACTCTTTTTTTACCATTGAAGAATGTGAAACATACAAGACTTTTCGCTTGTAGGTAGCAGTCAGTTCTTTCTGGTATAATACTAAATGTTACTTCTGACGGTTTTCAGCTCATGTTTGCCAATTATGTTGCATTTTGTAATTTAAAGGTTCATTTCTCAAAATAAAATTTATACAATTAATTCTTTTTGTTTTCTTTGCTGCCCAGTTTCATGACAAGATTGATCCAATGCTCGAAAGTTTGCAGCGAATAGCTGAGCGCTTGAGACAGCCGCCTTCAATCTCTGCAGAGTGTGAGAAGATTAGAGAACAGATAAGCGAGAATAAAAATGTTTCTGTGGAGCTTGAAAAGCTGCAGCCTGTCTATGAGGCCCTTAGGATGCGTGGAGAGGAAATGATCGCTCGTTCGGAGGGTGCTGATAAGGACATCTCAGCTAAAGGTAAATCACTGGGCAAGACAGCAACTATTCTGTTAATTTTCTGTGGATGGTGCATACCGCAGACTTCAGTGCTATTCTTATCATGTGCAGCCTGTTATGTTGTTCATAATTTTCCTATGAAATATTGTTATGAAATCTGTTTTTGGCAAGAAAGATGGTGCTATGATTTGCCTCACAATGCCTTATTTATGAGTCATTAAAGCCTAATTGCCTGAACTAGTATAAATTTATTAGAGCTGAATCTAATTGGAGACATATCTGTTTATAAAGTGTGTTTTCTTCGCCAGCTGTCCAAGATAAGCTTGACCAAATGGTCTTTATCTGGGAGGACATCCAGGCCTTGACAGAGGAAAGAGAGGCCCAGTTGCTGGATGTGTTGGAGTTGGCAGAAAAGTTCTGGTGTGATCACATTGCTCTGTTAGCTACCATTAAAGATACCCAAGAATTTATCCGAGATCTTGATGAACCTGGAGTTGACCCTTCAGTTGTAAAACAGCAACAGGAGGCAGCGGAGGTAAGATGACTAATAAGGCCTTACTGAAACATAATTATCGTATTTTGCGGTCCATAAGACGCACCGGACCATAGGACGATGTCATTATGTGTTCTGAACTTTAGCATATTGTTGAAAAGTAACTGTAAAATGTTCATTTTAGTCTATAAAAGAAGAAATTGATGGCCTGCAAGAAGAGCTGGACCTTGTGTTTTCTCTTGGGTCAGAGTTAATATCTGGATGTGGAGAACCTGACAAGCCTGTCGTGAATAAGAGTATTGATGAGGTAAATTCTGCTTTACATATTAAGTATTATATGTGTAAACAGTTTAGCACTGTAGCAGCTTAGGTTGAGAATTGCCACCAGTTGATTCCAATGCAGTTTTCCGTAGTTTTACCTAAGAACAATCTCAGTCTCACACATGTCTGGGGATGAGTGTTTTATCTCTGGATATTTTCTGTGTAATGCATTGGAGTCAATTGAAGACCAATTTTGCTGAAATTTCACTGAAGCCGAAATTAAAGGAGAACTATGGGGTTAAGGCTTTTCCCCATAGTTCACCTTAGGGTAATGGGAGGACACTCAACTCCCGTTCTACTGAGCCGACTTGTGACAGTCTCATTGTCACAGGTCAGCTAGAACTATGAGGTGAGTGAAAAGCACTCACCTCATAGTTCTCCTTTAATTTTGCAGAAATGTCTCCATACCTCTTTCCCAATATGTAACTTATAAAGAATCATCAAAGGTAAATACCACTAATGGATACAGGTAACTGTCTAGAAGACATAACAACCCACCTTGAATGCTGTATCCTTGGAAATACTTTTATTTTATTATAATGTCAAACCATAAACCTGCGGTAGCTGCTTTACCCTTTGGCAGGACAAAAAGGAGGATCTGCTCCTTCCAGTGATGTAAAGCACCTGTTGTTTCCATTCACAAAATAAAGCATCAAAGAAAACATGTTTATGTGTCTTGTATGAGGCTTATTAGCACTGAGAAAGTGCCAGTTACAGCACAAAATCAGTCAGACTGATTTAAGTGCATTCCTGAGTTCCAATATCAAATAACTGTAAACCTTATATACCATGTTCCAGAGTTTTAGGGCCCAATAAAATGGGGGATTTTAATTTAACCGCTTGTTGACAATTACTACCTTTAAATAACATTTACATATTTTGTGTAAATAGGGTAATTTTTAACAACTGGATGCAATTACCCATGTTTAGCTCTTAGATATCCTAAATGCAGTGGACATAAACTATTACTAGCAGCCTCATAGTGTATACAATTTATCTGAACAAAAGGCTGGTTGCAGGCAACACTTCAGCATAGCTCTAGGGGCCTGCGAGGGGCTGTTAATTTGATCAGATATTTCCTTCCTTATGAGACAACTCTGCTCAGTATTACACAGATATGATCCCCAATAAGAAAGAATTGTTTGTGTACCTGTGTCAGAGTTCATTAGCATTTTGATCTCTTCGAAATGCCCACCTTATGCTTAATGTTTGATGCGTTACCACTATGGAGATCATATCCTAGCCATAGGAGTATGTAAATAAAATATAGGGGAATCTAGGCACATTTGTTTTACCAAGATTTGCCAATTCACGCTGCAGATGTAAAACAAATCTGTGGGAAGAATAGGGGTGAATGCAAATTAACATTTTACACTTAAGATCTTCATTTGCAGCTCATCCAAGATGTGGTGAATGTGTGCGATGGTTGAGCAACAGAAGCGGCGGGTGAGTGAGGCTGGTGCTGCTCAATTGGGTCAATGACTGATTCACGCTCTCTGGGTGCCAAGTCAAAAAGAACAATCATAAAGTCAATAACATTTAACATATTTCTTATAACATAAATGTTATTGACTTGGATATCCCACTGAACTGGGAAGTGCAGTAAATTCAGAAAATGGGACCTGGATCTGGCAAACATGCAATGCAAGCCGTGAATGTGTTTTAAACCTGGTTAGCAGTATTGAACAACCTGGCAGGTGGATGTGTGACAGTATACAAAACTGTTTTTTTTTTATAGCTGAATTCTGCATGGGATATGCTAAATAAAACTTGGAAAGAGCGAGTAGAGAAACTAAACGAGGCAATGCAGGCTGCTGTAAAATACCAGGATGGGCTGCAGGTACATTAAAGTGTATTGATTATTTTATGTAATGCTGAAAAAAGCACCATAATAAATGATAACGTGTTTCCTTGCATTATTCTATTATAGTTTACACACTACATTTTATATTTTTTTCTACAGGTTGTGTTGTAACTATCCTTTTATGGTATATTAGCTGTTAATATGTAATATATACAAAAAGGAAAATTAATTTTTAATCAGAAAAAAGTGTATTTGGAAGTGTTATGAAAGTAGGTTAACACAACAAATTGTATATGAACAATAATGCATTGATGTCATCACTTGAACTTCAATATTTCTTAATTTCATTCATCTTGATTTCCTATTACTTTTTTAAAGATGATAGATGATTTTTATTGAGTTTGCATTAATAACAGTGTAGCGCCACCCCCTGACCCCCAGAGGCCTGAGGTGGACCCCAAAAGGTAGGGAGGGCAGACATTTCACTCTCAGGTGCAGATCCTCAGCCAGTGAAGGGACATGTGATCGACTAATTGGGCGCCAGTCACTTTAAGTGCCCTTTTTCATTTTTTTTGCAGAACAGCATAACTGGGAGATAGGGTATAGGGCTTCATAGCAAAAATAGAACAGACTCCAGACTCACCAATCCTTTCAGGCTTCCGCAGTGCAGAATTATCCATAGAACAGGCTGATACTGGGCAATAGAGCAACAGCTGAATAGGGATGTGCATAAGATCTTCCCTGGAAGAGACACCAGACTTGTTCCTGAGGTCTATATCAGCTCCTGGCACCTCCATAAGTCATAAGGCTTATCTGGACCTTCTCCCTAGATAGTTTCAGTTCCCTCCTAGGTCTCCATGTGGCCTCTTTCAGGCTTGAGGCCTAGTCAGCTTCTCTAACATTGTACATGCCGCCGCCCAGGCCAAGCCTGGGGGCAGACTGCCCTTGAGCACATGACAATCCCTGAGTATTTATGCAATCCCCCATCCTGCACCACTGGCCATGAAACTCCTAGTGATTGTCTGGTGAGGCATAGATACTCCTGATTTTGACCTGTTGGCTGCCCCCACACTGTAAAGGGGTCACACCCCACTCAGACAGGTACAATCAACAGCAGAACACCTGGAATTAAAGGAGAACTATGAGTTGAGTGATTTTCACTCAACCTCATAGCTTGAACCAACGTGTGACAATGAAACTGTCACACGTCGGCTCAATAGATTGGGAAGAGAGCAAACACATACCGTCACTCGCTCACTTCTCCACCCTGCCCCTGCAGAGAGCTGTGACTGTCACGGCTCCCTGCAGGGATTCCCCCCCTCCCCGCTCCAATCCTCCAGTGCTGACTGGAAGAATGCACGAGGGAGGGGGCGGGTACAGCTGGCTCTGCCTCTAGATAGGCAGAACCAGCTGTCAATCACGCAGCTGGGTGGATCTCAATAGTAATGTCGGGATCCGTTCCGGCTGTAGCTCGCGGTATACTGAGCTTTAGGTCATGGGAGGACGTTAGTTTATATCCTCCCGTGACCCTGAGGAGAACTATGGGGAAAAACACTTACCCCATAGTTCTCCTTTAACCAGATAATATCCAACTACAATTCAGCTAGACTGATTACAGTGTTAGCAACACTAGATTTTCATAGCCACAATACTGAAGGTGGTAAGGGCTATAACAGAAAAAAAAAGCAGGGGGAAAACAGCCCCTTAACAGCAGCAGAGATCAAAGGACATAGTCACAGTCATGAAAGCTTATATGTAGGCTTACAATACACATATGTTGAAATAGATCATAATACCAATATGGTATACAGCTGAAGAGTCTACCAAAATACACATGTTGTGTGTGGTGCAGTATACGTTACTTCTACAACGTTCCCAAGATAATCATACTCCATCAGTGCAGAGCATTGTTAGGGTGAGCCTATACAGCATGTCAATAGTTCTGTGGTAACATTTTTTAAAATTACTTTTAGGCACTCTTTGACTGGGTGGATATTGCTACAGGAAGAATGTCTACAATGTCACCTATTGGAACAGACCTAGACACAGTGAAACAGCAAACAGCTGAGCTTAAGGTATGGTAAAGCCTCTTGGTAATACTTATTTTATTTATATAGTTTAGAATTCTTTATAGATACATTTGTAAATGTTACAGGATGCAGTGCCTTAAATCTAATTATGGCTCTGATAAATTCAGCTCTGTGCACTGGCTGTTACTCTTTTTTTTTCCTCACTGCAGCAATTTAAGACAGAGGCATACCAACAACAAATAGAAATGGAAAGGCTGAATCACCAGAAAGAGTTATTGCAGAAGAAAGTGACAGATGAGAATGATAAGCAAGCTGTTGAAGACTCCTTCAAGGAACTGAAATACGTTTGGCAGACCCTAGAGGATAAAATTATCAACAGACAGGTAAAAAAAATAAAAATGTTTGTAGACATAAAGTGAGATAAAGATTAAAATAAAGTGAGATCTTAACAAAATCTGTTTCATGAACACATGAATAGTAAAAGTTAAGCAATAACGTTTTTTTCTGGGATATCAGCACCATGTCATATAAATCTCAGACACTAAAACATAAACCACATGTCATACAGAAAAGAATCTTGCACAAAATATGCGTGATTAAATACCAATGACCAAGCAGTGGAATTGGCCATACACCTATCAATCTGATTTATATTTACCAGATCAATGTAAAATGAGGGTCTCCACTAAACAATCCATAGGTAATATAAAACATATATGTGTTTTGAAATGATTGTTAAATGTAAGTCTTTTTTCCCCCTTTAATCAGCACAAGCTAGAAGCTGCCCTCTTAGCTCTGGGTCCATTCCAGCATGCACTAGATGAATTGCTTACATGGATGACTCACACAGAGGGACTTCTCAATGAACAGAAACCCATTGGTGGAGATCCGAAGACTATTGAGATTGAACTTGCCAAACATCATGTGAGTAGTCTTAACACAAAGAAATGTGTAGCCACTTTGGATTGCTGATTCTATATCATAACAAGTCTAATGTCATGTGTGGTAAAACCATTACATTTAATAAAGCAAACCCATTAGCAGATCTTGATCAGACTATTTGGTAAAATTTGAGTTTATCAGACTCTGTCCTTCCACTTAGGATGAGTGTCAAATAAAAAGACATACTAGCCATTCACTCAGCTCTCAAGAATTCTGCAGCATTCGTTTTTTGCACTAGAAAATGTACACAGAAAACTCTTTTAATGGAATTCGATTTTAATTTTTGACCAGTCTTGGAATTTGGGGTGCTATACATGCCCCAAAAAATAATTTTTAGTAATCTAAAAACGGTGGGTAGGTGTAATGTGCCCTGCTCTTCCTTATCAAACCTGCGGCTCACTGGCTGCATTTTCTGGCAAATCTTGGAAGTCAAATTGACAGCTGGGATTTGTCTAGTAATAGAAAGCAGCTTTTGCTGTGTCTGTGTAAATGTTCACTAACAGAACAAAGGCTGCAGTGTCAAGAAGAGTTAGATGTAGCAGTGTTATTTTGCTACATTGTAAGTTCTCTCGTTCATTTATAGCAGATAAAAGGGGTGAACTTTAGTCTGCATATGACATAATTTAAAGCACCCTTACAGTATAAACAACTGTGTTCTCATTTACGCCTTGTTGACCTTTAGTAAACCCTAATTACCCCTTTCACCCCTTCTTCCCTTAGCTGTTATTTTGCTGCTGATTTTTTTTATTTCGGTTTTTTTACCATCAATATTTTACATGTTTTCAATTTTATTTCATTTTATACCTTAATTTGTATTGACTCATTTAAAATAAACATGCAAAACTGGAAAAATTCCTTTATTTCATTTGTAAATAGCATACAATATATGTGCTACTTTGTCTTAAGTAATGACAAAGTAATCACCATATTAATAGACTCATAGCTGAAATGCCGAAATTGCTCTAGTTTATAAGGGGTATACAGGTGTCAGAGCTGAAATGGTTAATTTAAAAACATGAATTTGCAAGGTTTTACCATATAATAAAATCAATGTATGTTCTAACACAATCATTCTGTTTATTATTATAGGTACTACAAAATGATGTTCTAGCACACCAGTCTAGTGTAAAAACGGTCCAGAAAGCAGGAAACGACCTGATAGAGTCCAGTGCTGGAGAAGAGGCCCGCAGTCTGCACAGCAGGTTAGAGGCGCTAAGTCACCGTTGGCAAAATGTCTTGGATAAAACAGCGCAGAGGAGAAAGCAGCTTGACAATGCACTTTTTCAGGTAAGTCAAAGCTAACAAGAATATCCATCAATGATTGAAGCATGTTTATTATGACAATATAAATTATTACATGAAGTTGGTAGTGTGGAATGGTATATAATATAATAAGATGAACTGTGTTTGTTGGAAGTACCTTGCTGAATATGCAATAGGACTACAGGTGTATCGTATTATTTTTAGCATAAAACAAGATAGTTTACAAAAAGAAAGAATAGGATGTGGAATGTTACTTATAGCAATACATGTTGACTGGCATATTTCTAATTGCCTATTTCCTTGGTTTCCTAAGAAGCTCCTTTTTTGTGTTGTGTGAATCATTTAAATACATTTTCATTTGCATATTATAATTTCATACTTGCTGGTGAAAGTAGGAGTAAAGCCACCTTTTATTTGTTATTGTTGGTCTATTTTAGATACAGGTGCTATGGGAAAAAACTGCTGTGAAGTCTAGAGTTCTTCTTATTTTCATAGCTATTTGTAAATTGCTTAAATAAGAACTATGGGGTAAGTGTTTTCCCCCATAGTTCTCCTAAGGGTCACGGGAGGACATATACTAGTGTCCTTCCATGTCCCAAAGCTCAGTATATCGCGAGCTACAGCTGGCGGTATACTGAGACCGCCACAGCCGGGACGGATCCCCACATTACTGTCGAGATCCACCCTGCTGAGTGAGTGACAGCTGGCTCTGCCTATATAGAGGCAGAGCAAGCTGTACCCACCCCCTCCCCCGTTTGTTCCGCCAGTCAGTGATGAAGAATCGGAGCAGGGAGGGGAGAATCCCTGCGGGCAGCCGTGAGTGACAGTCACGGCTCTCTGCAGGGAGATGATCGAGAAGTGAGCGAGCCGACCTGTGACAGTTTCATTGTCACACATCGGCTCGAACTATGAGGTAGAGTGAAAATCACTCACCTCATAGTTCTCCTTTAAATGAGAGCACTGCTAGGAGAAACACACACTAGACTGCATATATTATCTACCTTTATTGTTTTCTTTGGTACTTTTGATCATTCAGTCCATATTCCAAAACCCAGGAGGGTTTTCTTACAAGAGAAGAAAGTGGAGCACTCCACCACCTTCCTAACCTTTAGAACCGTTTTTAATATTTTTTAATAATTATGCAAATGTTTTACATTTCCATACTGCATTCATTCGGTGCTCATATTTTCTTTCCAGTAGGGTAAGCATTGATTTGTCTAAAGGTGTAATATATTAAAACAGAACCTATAGATGAACTGTATAAAAAACAAATCAGTAAGCAAAGATGTTCCCTGCACACTATACAGCAACCCAGATAGCAAGCAATTGAGCTGCAAGTTTGAAAATGACTTGCTAAACTATTGCAGACTTGCCAAGCTTCACAATTTTGTTGCACAATTAGAGCAAGTCTGCACTGCAAGTCTCCAGACCAGCGAGCTTGCAGAGCTCTTGCTAAGACCTGCAGGACTCTTGCTGTAGACTTGCCTAGCAAATTTGCTACAAATTCAAAACGTGTCAACTAGAACTTGTGCTGCAAGTGTTCTGCAAGTCTACAACTTGCCAGGAATATGTGCAGCAAGTTAACAAGAATTACAATTTAACCCTGCCACAAGTTTGTGCCATGTTATCCTTGCTATCTGGGAATAGAGACCTTGAAATAGCGGTGGTGCTTGTAGTGATGTTAACGGATGGCGCCGTGCGGATATCATTTAACAGCAATGAGGATCACCAGCACTCATGAGATGAGATAAATCCAAATGTTCTTTTTTATTGAAGAAGCATGTCACATATATAGTATAGCCAACATTTCGGAACCACGCAGGGTCCCTTCATCAGTGCAGACATAGTGCTGACGAAGGGACCCTGAGTGGTTCCGAAATGTTGGCTATGCTATATATGTGACATGCTTCTTCAATAAAAAGAACATTTGGATTGATCTCATCTCATGAGTGCTGGCAAACCTCATTGCTGTTAACTGTATGAAAGCAAAGCTATTATTAAACAGAATCCCAAGGAAGTGCTCTGTCACTGTGAGTTTTATTATATTTATATGTTGCCTAGTTATGCGTGGTTGTTCTTTCTCTCAACAAAATCCAGAAAAAAATAAGAAATCATATATTATTACTAATTCCAAAGGCTGCATGTAACTACTGACTAAGCAGTAATGCACTGCGCAGTGTTAGGATAATGACATTTGTTTAACATTTAGTTATCTGTGCTCTAAAAAACAGGCTCAGGGTTTCCACAGTGAGATTGAAGAAATGCATCAATGGCTGACAGAGACTGAACGTCACTTACTGGCTTCCAAACCTGTTGGAGGATTACCAGAAACAGCGAGAGAGCAACTCAACACTCATCTGGTAAGAATCTGCGGACAAGGCTCCAGCTCAGCCTAGTCGTCCTGTCTGCCTTTTCGGCAAGGACGTTAGTGGTCATGGTTTGTTCTCGCACTAAAGTTCGAAATTGGTCTAGTTGTATCTTGTAATGTTTATTTCACAAAATATTCCGATATCTAATGGGGATTTCTATGAGCGAGGCCATTACTGTTGCCTGACAGTGAACGCTGATGATTCTTTAAACCGTGTCCATGAACCTTCCAATGGGGAGTGCAATATGTTAATGGTTTTTTGCCTAGAATTTAAACAGTTTGGACCTCATCATTCAACAATCTTACCCTTTATAGATACAAACCAATTGTAACTGATAAGTCTTGAATATCTTGAAGAGACAGCCATTCAGCATCGAGCCAGCCAAACAGCATGGAGTCGGCTTCCAGGCCAATCAGGAAGCCGGGCGGCGGGTAATGAAGCTGGTTTCCAAGCCAATCAACATCGAGCCAGCCAAACAGCATGGAGCTAGCATCCCAGCCAATCAGGAAGCCGGGTGGCGGGTAATGACCCCTCTACCGGCTTCCTGATTGGCTGGGAAGGTGGCTCCATGCTAGCGGAAATACCGGTATCTGTACTAGTTTCGGCATATACCGAAAGATAAATATCAGTACTTGTACTCGATACCGAAAAAATGGTACCAGTGCATCCCTAGTTTATTACTTCCCCCAAAGTAAGAAAAGAGCTGTGGCTAATTAATGTTGTTAATTAATAGAAATATGTAGCATATAAAGCTCAGTGAAGAGCTTTTCTGACATAACCTTTTGAGAGGATGTGCAAATTGGATGCAGAGCATTTTCAGTGGGTCTGACTCTTCCAGATGTAAAGTTTCCTCCAATAACTGTTATTTCTATTATATAATTTATATAATACGCTGAAACACTTTAGAAACACTTGGGTTTAGAAACACTTTGATACAAAAGTGGGCAAAATAAAATCCCAGTAAGACAGCTGCCAATTTATCCACTTAGGGGGAAACATCTCCTGGCCCAGCCATTGGCCATGTTAATAGAGAAGTATTAAGGACTCAAACTTTTTTTCAATAATGGATCCAGATGAAACAAATATACACTGAGTGGCCAGATTATTATGACCACCCTATCAGTACTTCGTTGGGCCACGAGATGACTTCGTTCGGCCGCCTCGTGACTCCACGAGATGTTGAAAGGTGATGCGAGGAATCTGGCACTGCACTGTTGCCCTTCTGTTGTCTTGTACCAGTCTTGCCACTCTCCGTTCTGCCCTAACATTGACTAGTCGCTGACAGCCACAATTCGCACGTTCAGACCCAGATTTTCGTCTGACAGTCCAGTCTTTAAACACTTTAACAACAGCTGCTCTTGAACATTTAACGAATTCTGCTGTTTTGCTGATACTCGCTCCATGGCTCCGAGCGCCAACAATCATCCCACGTTCAAAGGCTGTTAAATCACATCGTTTACCCAAATCACTTCTACTGTCGTGGTAAACAACCTGCTTCCCTATTTATAATGGTCTGGCCCTCTAGCAACTTCAGAGCGAAACTATAGCTAATTTGCCTACAAACGTCAGGTGGTCATAATAATCTGGCCACTCCGTGTACATTGCCCAGCAAAGAACTCTTTAAATTTTTGTCCGAGCACTTAGCAGTCATTATGTTTCCAAACAACTAACTCCAACTCTCTCAAGTACAAGAACACAAGGAACAGGGCAGTCTATCCTGTTTTAGGATGGCTCCTTTCCCTTAGAGGGTCCTATGCACTAGTAAAGCTGTGTGTGTCTCCCCAAGCACACAGGCACAGCGAGGCAATACATTTCTCTACATTCTGTTCCCTTCCCTTCTCCATGCTTGCAGATGGACAGCTATGTGTTTGGGGAGACACACAGCTTTCTAGCGCAAACAAGGGTGGCTCCATAAGACCATGCAAGGGAAAGGAAAACAGGAAATCAGGGCGAGTGCTGAGAGGACTATATGATTCTGCAGAAGGTTAAAACTTTTCAACATGAAGAAGCAGCATCCATTGTAAGCGATTGAATCAGCATTAGAAGCTTAAAAACATTTTGACATTATTATGACTTTAATTTCCCTCCATCAGTCTTGAATATATAGCATCATGTGCATTATTTGCAACATATAACTGTTTCAACTGACTTCTGATGGTATAACACATGTTAATTAAACTTTATTGATTTGGTATTTGCATATCTTTAGGAACTATGTGGTGCATTTGAAGCAAATGAAAAAGTCTACAAAAGCATCATGCTTAAAAGCCAGCAAATGTTGCAAAAAAGTGCAGATGACCCTGAAGCAAATATGGATCAAGACATAAACAACTTAAAAGAGAAATGGGAATCAGTAGAAACAAAAGTCAGTGAGCAAAAAGTAAGTATCAAAGGCTTCATAGATAAACACCAGTGCAGTATTTGGTTGTAATAATGTGCTATAGAAAAGAAAAGTACACATTTAACAAAGATCATTCTATGTATAGTAAGGACATTTTGATCTAGTGTTGGCAATTGGTTTTGTCTCAACACTGATAGAGTAGTAATGGCATAATTGCAAAAGCATGTGCTATCGGGGGTGAACATACAAAATGTATGGTATAAATAACATTACTTTTATAGGACATTAGCTTGTTTAAATCATATTTGAGAGTTGTTCTCTATACCTGACGTTTTTGTAATTGTCTTCTCTGTGGTATAGTGTAAGGATATTTTAATTGGAGTTTACACAGTATTTATTTATTACAGGTATGTATTTAGTGTTGACAATTCACACAGTGCTTTACATACTGCACATTCAAATCAAGTCTCTGCCCTCAAGGAGCTTATAATTCAAGGTCTCTATCCAGGGGCATATCTGCCGTGAGGCAAACAAGGCGTTTGCCTCGGGCAGCAGATTCCAGGGGGGCGGCAAAAATGCTGCTCCCAAAAACAATTAGGCAGACGGGCTGCAAAGAAACCGACAGCCTGGCTGCCTAATGTGAACAGGAAGGAAGCAGAGGGCGGGGAAAGGAGAGGCAGGGGGCGGAGACAGAGGAGATGGGGCGGAGATGGAAAAGGTGGGGGTGAAGACGGAGGAGGCGGGGGGGCAAATACGGCAACAGAGGAGGCGTGAGGCATCGCCAGAGCTCCAGTCGAGCGGCGAAGATGTGACGATTGGGCACTGAGGCAGCGGAGGAGGCTGGGTTTCCCGTGCCAGGTAAGAGGACTGTGCTGGCAGGGCCCAGCATAGATTCTGTACAGCTCACCAAAGAGTCTCAGGTGGGCTGTGCAATACCCTTTGGTGGACTCTGCAGGCTCCGTAGGGGGCTCTGCAGCCTGCAAAGCCCCCCACAGATCCTGCAGAGTTCCCCTGATATCCTGCAGGGTCTCAGGGGGT